ACAGGCTCGTCTTTGGGAGCAATAAAAAGGCCATCAGTATGCTCGAGGGGTGACGGGGCCCCATACGCTGACGAAGCAGAACGCGCCACTCGTCGTCAGTACTTAGTTTCCTGTTGCCCTTTTGACTCTATACAAAGGTAATTAAATTCTATACTTCCTAGGGAGTATAGAATTATATACTCCATAGGGAGGTGCTAGGCACCGGTTGCCTCTACCTAACCGACCTGCAGCGGGCCAATACTCTGTTCTGTTCCGATCCATATTATATTGGCTTGGATTACCCCATGAAGCGCACATGCATGTACAGTAAGCAGTGCAAGCTATTCAGTATAAGCGATTCATTGTTAGCTTTAAATCTGAAATGACTGAGTAGCCCGTCTGAAGTTGCAAGTGTTGAACGTTTCGGTTCTTTGCGCGCGTGGTCGCTGAGTAGTGTTACATAGGAAGTTCTCGGTCTTAGCTGAGGGCAGTCCTGAACTGAAATACAGCCAAAAGAGGTATAGAGCCCCAGGAACTGTTGAAATCCTCTCCAGTATCCAGGTGTCCTGGCAGCATTGGCACAGGTGTCGAGGACTGAGAAGGAGCGGCTCACTAGTTGCTGCACACCTTGCTGCAGCTCTTGCTACCCGGAAGTTCTAGATGCAAGTAAACGCAAGCTCCCTTCCCATGCACTACCACTGCACCACTGCAAACAAATGCTAACAACTAACGTGGGCATTTGCAACCAGGGCATGAGTAGAAACACTGCAAAATGCAGACACAAAATCTCCCGATCGCTGTCATGCCCCAAGCCAAACAAGGCATTTCTTCATCTATCTGACTTCCACTTCCAAGGAAGGGAAGCGTGCAAAGAAGAGAGGGGAGGTGGTCGCGTGAGCGGCCAGGGCCTCGAAGACAGAGAAGGAAGCCGATACCGACAAAGCGATACAAGGTGAAAGGGGGGGAGCGCGTTTTCCGGTTCTGCTTACTTCTGCGGCTGCTGCTGCCGGCTCACATCCCCCTGAGGGCACCCAATTGTGTCATCGCGTTTCACACAAGGCGCTCTGCTCCTTGCGGCCTGTTTGAGAGTTTGCCTACGAGCTTGCAGGCAGCCTACTAAAGACCAAGTATATGTTCAACAATTGCTTACAGTGATCGTTCATGCAACGTGGGGGAAACCTATTGTGCTTGCACTCGCGGTTGCCGTGTAGCACTAGTTGCAGGCAAGAGCTCTGCACCCCCAGAACGAGACCTCCCCACCAGCCCCACGCCCTTGCGTGGTTGTGCGCCAGGCAGTACGCCGTGAATCAGGAAGGAACGCCAACTGCTTTTTTGGATCTATGAACCTCGGCGTATGATTCTATTGCAGCTCGCGAGGGTCCTCAGCTACGATTGAGAGCGTTCACTACAGTTACTGCTTTCTGCAGCTCTTGCTGCAAAGTTAACGCATAGGCAGGTGCAACCGAGCCTCCCTTTGTTGCACTTACTGACATCGTATAAACTTTGGAAACGCTCACTTGGCCAGCAGCACTAAACCGGTAGTCAATAGAAATTCATGTACCAACATCAGACATGTGTTTCAGCACGCTGCAACTGGAAACACGAATAGGTTGCCTGCGCCAGATCCCCCATGATATGTTTAGAA